AAAAAAAAAAAAAAAAAGAAAAGAGCTTGGTGCCCATAGCACAGTAGTTATGGTACCAGCCACATATTCCAAGGGTGGCAGGTCGAACCCGGCCTGGGCCAGCTAAACAACTGCAACAACAACAAAAAAATAGCCTGGTGTTGTGGAAGATGCCTGTGGTCCTGGCTACTTGGGAGGCTGAGGCAGGTGAATTGCTTAAGCCCAAGAGTTTGAGGTTGCTGTGAGCTGTGATGCCACAGCACTCTACTGAGGGTGAGACTCTGTTTCAAAAAAAACCCAAATATATCATTTATATGGCAAAATCTAAAAAGTGCTGAGTGGCATGGTTAGAAGTGCTTTGGAGTTCAGTGCATCATTGTAAATTTGAAAGAAGGGATGAGATTTAAAAAGGAGTTTTCTATCAGAACCCTGGAGGTTCCATCAGAACCTGAACAGGAGTTCGAGGCTGTAGTGAGCTATGATTAAGCTCTGCATTCCAGCCTAGGTGATAGAACAAGACCGTGTCTCAAAAAGGGGAGAGGGAAACTGTCAAAGGATAAATAAAAATTAAATTTACAGAGAAAAGGGTGGTGGTGGAAGTTCTATCTTGGGGATTGTGTAAAAGATTTCTTCATAGGATTCATAGGGTTAGCAATGTTTCTTCACAAATGCTTAATCCAGTCCCATTTGAGTAATATGCCTTGTTTTAACGTTCCTGGAGAAAGGCAACCTCTCTTGGTAATTTTAAAAACATTTTAGTATAGAAAATTTCAAATATGTACACAAGTAAATGCTGTAGTGAATCCCGATATAAGTACCATCACTCAGCTTCAGCACTTACCAACACATGGATGGTTTATTTATTTTATTTGTTTATTTTTATTTTATTATTATTTGTTTGAGATAGAGTCTCACTGTCACCCATGTAGAGTGCTGTTGTGGCACAGCTCACAGCAACCTCCAACTCTTGGGTTTAAGCAATTTGCTTGCCTCAGCCTCCTATGTAGCTGGGACTACCAGTGCCTGCCACAACACCCAGCTACTTTTTGTTGTGGCTGTCATTGTTGTTTAGCAGGCCCAGGCTGGGTTCAAACCACCTGCCTCAGTATATGTGGCCGGTGCCCTAACCACTGAACTATGGGCACCTAGACTCATTATGATTTTAATTTGCATTTCCCTGATGATTAGCGAC